TTATTTCGATTTTCCTTTCTGTCAATGTTTCTTCTGTCTTCCAGTCTCGTTTTTAAAATAAACCAGCAGCGAGTTGCTCAATTTCCCAGCACTATTTAAAATTTCGGTGGCGCCATCTGTTACCATATTTTATTAAAATTTTTTTTATATTTTAAACTATTATAAAATGACAAAAAGCTTAATTTTGAGGGTAATGATAAGTTTTATAAAAAAATGGTAAATACTAATAACGAGTAAAATCGTCATTAAGTCAGACTCTACTCGAAATATACACGACTCTTTTTATCTCCCCACTCCCTCGACTTTTAATAGACAAAATTTAATAGTACCAATTCCCCTAATAAACAAACCTACCTGCAAACTTTCAGAAAGTTTTGACAAAAAGCACAAGAGTTATTAAGCTTCAGATAGAGTGAACAAAATCGTGCACCCACACACTAACATTCATATATACAGAAATTACGCCCATTTATTATTACTATTTTTACATTTCTCGATGTTTCAAGGTGTCTTATGTCCAAAAATGTAAATATATTAGGGGATCATTTTTTGACCAATTGCCGTACTTTCCATTAGTTATTTATAACAGCCAGGAAAGTAAAATTGATTATCAATGTTCTGTAATTAAAATTATTATAGTGTTTTGAGAAGACATTTGCAAGTAACGCAATTTACAATTATACTTAACATAAATTTCTGTTAAGGGGCATTCGTTTCACAAGAATTGCGTACACCATTACGTCAATTTTACGTCATTTTACGCTTTCTCATTATACAAGAAAGAACAAAAATGACATCAAAATATCGTAAGAATGCATTATTCGAACAAAAAGAATGCGCTTAAAATTTGATGAGCGATTTCGATGTCCTCAAATTGTATTGCTATTACGTATAGTACACTAATGCCATTTTTCGACACAACAGATAATAATGAATATACAGTAGACCCCCCTATAACGCTTAGATACGTTCCACGCTAATCGAATTTTACGTTATAGGAATGATTAAATACATGATCCAATCGCAGCCCGATAGGTGGGAACTTTACGGAGTAAGGCTGTTCGAAAGGTTTTCTTCTATAAAATTAACCGATTCTAGACTAATTCCACTCAACATTTCCAAAACACGTATAATTTTTTGGGAGTAATCCGTATAAACTATGCTATAAACAAAAAATTATAGGATTACTTACCGAGTGTGTACCGTTCGACTACGCCGTTGCTTAAAGCTGGTTTTCGTTGCGGAACAGCACATGAAACGGCGGCCGCGATTTCTAATAACGAATTTTTCGCAGAAAAATAACTTGACCTTTGGAGACATCATTAATATAAATAATTTTTATGGCCGTTGAATAAGAAGTGTTTCTTTCACAAGAAATGTATAAAATTAGTGCTGTATTAGACTTACGGTACCTAATTTACATACTGTACAGACGATAATAAACTCAACTTACTAGCCTAAAATCTCCGTAGCGTGTTGCCAGGCGGCAGAAAGCATATATATAATTATAATAAAGTTACAATAAATTAAGTTAATATATAATTATATATACAGTACCTAATTTATATATAATTAATATATAATTATATGTACAGTACCTAATTTATATATAATTTATATATAATACTAAACAGACGATAGCAAACTCAATTTAGCCGCTCCGTAGCGTGGCGCAGGGTCGGAGGAAAGTAGTTCGGCTGCTCATCCACTATTGGTCCAGACTCTATCAATCTTGTCGCGAAACGACGTTATAGGAGGTACTTTATACGAAAGTTTCTACAATTTTTTCACTACGTTATAGGAATTGACGTTATAGGAACGTACGTTATAGGGGGTCGACTGTAATGTGTATTTTGTATATAATGGCTGACAAATTCTATATACTTTTTGCTAACTTGACTCTTAGTAAGGTCAACCAACGTGAAGTAGAGAAGGTAAATGAAACCTTGAGCGAAAATGGTCATGAAAATCTTATTCTTTAAAATAGTTTTAATGATTAATTATAATAATAAATTTATAATTATCTAATAAGCAATAAGTATGTTAATTAATACAGATTAAAGACAACAGAAAATAATATTGTGCAACTAGTTCTTATAATTCAAATGGTATTTGAGATTCCAATCATTTCTGCAATTAGTGTATGATACCATTGCAAAACTTTGTTATCGTTTGATTGTTACATGCTGTAACGATCCGTTAAGTTATTGTTTGTCTTCAAATACAAAAAAGTTTCAATTAAATGAAGCTAAAATAATATTCGAATATAACAAGCCATTAATTTAATAAAATAAATGTTTCCTTTTGAAATTTGAAATTTATCAATGTCAATCACTATTTTGTGTATCGCTTGTCTGTCCATAAAAATTACTGGTATTTAACAAATTATTACATTATAAATGCATATAAGTTTTTGAAAACTTCAAAAATACGATCTTTTTATTATTTCATAATTAATAGACACTATATTAGCATTAGCATATATGAAACAAAGAGAAACACTACTAGCATATGGGAACAACGTGCCACAAGTGAGAGCTCCGGACACACTGATGCGAGTCACAGTAACGCTTTTCCAGAACGAGAATAAGCGTTATTGAGTAAGATACTGAAGACTTTACGCACTTTAAAAATGGCGCTGGTTTAGCGCTTAATTAATAATTATTTTAAGTATTTTTCGGTTTTTTCCGGATTGCCAACTGCGTAAACATGAAACCACGTATGAGGGGATCCTACTATACAAAATACTGTAATTCAGATTGTTTTATCTTTTAAACATCGCAAGAAAAACTTTTGAATTGTAAAATATTGAAAATTTATTTTGAAAGCAGTTATTAAGCACATATTTAATAATTTTATATTGTAAAGAATAAGAGAGAAGTTAAAAAATAAGTGTTTTCGAACATTTTTCACGAGTGTTCTCTTTTTTCTGTTTAAACAATTTACTATAATCAAGAATGCCCAATTGAAAGTAAACCAAATTTGTGTCATCACAACTACATTTTCAGCACTTTAGTAAAGTAATGAGAACACATTCGAATTACATTAAACATAATGATTATATTCTCATTCCTTTAATAATGAGAATGTAGTTATCTAATTCTGGCATGTAATTTTATTGTATAAATATGTAAATTTGAAGACTACTTAAAGTAAAAATTCTTGTTTTTTAAGAAATAATTATATGTTGAGAAGTTATATCTCATTCTGAACACTGAACACTGATAAAGAGTTGGTTGTAGGCTTGCATGTCACCAACAGGCTGGCCACGTGGATTTTCCGGATATTTCACGTCTGAGCACTTAATTAGAGGCAAGTTTTCCATAGAAAGCTCTTTCGGGAGGCACCTACCACTTAACTGATTGTCTCAAGTTTTGCTTTGTTGTATCCATCTATCCATTCTCTTCTGAACAAACATATAGCTTAATGAAATTCAAATAATTCAATTTAAGAAAATTTACAATTTTTTGTTCTTTATTCCTTAAAGAGTTTGAAATTTCAGGCTAAATTTATATAGATATAATATTTCTAAGAACATTTGTAATTATCAAGCTTTATTCTGTTTATTTTATTGTTTTATATACAGGTAAAAGGAAAGACTGAAAGGTCATCATAAAGTTAGGAAATGTTATTTCTGTGTTTTAATCTATTGTAAAATTTATCGGATGAATGGTTTTTTTAATTTGATTGCAGATAATGAAAAATCATCCATGACTCGTAGAGTTTTAGTGTACGAATCTGTCAATGTACGAGAATAAAATCGCTTCATCAGGATATCCTCTAATAATGTTAAACAAAAGTTTTGTTTGAAAGAATAGTCGAATTGTATGAAATACAGAATGGAATTAGGAATGAATCGAGAATCGGTTCTCCATGAAAATGATTATAAGCAAGGCGGATGCACGACTGATATAGGGGCATAAGCCATCACTATTGATATACAAACACACAAAAATTAAAATTTATTTGTACGAACTTCAAAACGTTGGTTTTAAAAACATTTACGATAGCAAATATGGTTTATTAAATCATTTGCGATACAATTGTCGTGCACGTGTTAATAAAAGATACTTATAATTGAAATATTTTTAATTTTTGAGCCCTTTGGGTTCTTCTGGATCTGGATTATAGGAGTAAATATATAGCAAATATAAAATTGTTAATAATTTTTGAATTTGATAATCATAAAGAAATGATAGAGATGATTCAATATAATTACTTTTGTAATAAAATTAATTCAAAAATCAAAATTTATGCGAAGTTGCAGAATAAAAAGATTTATTAGGCGTACTTAAAATTTATAATTGGGTGTGTCCCATAATAGATTTGTAATGAGGAATGAAGAATAGAATAATGCTGCATAAATTTCTAAAAAAAAAATTTAAAAATATGGTGTGATTGATTTTGAGTTTTGTCTTCAAGATGGTAGGAAAAACCTGATCACAACTGACCTTAATGCTTTTTTTTCTTGTTTTCCTATAATAATATATAATCAAGTTAAACTATTAAAACGTATTAATTAATATACTTATAAATTTTTGATAGGAAGACATATATTATAGTTTAAATAATGTAGTTATCTATTTTATAACAGATTACAGCTATATTAAAGGCATTGACTTAGAAAGAGTTCGTGCTTGCTAATTAACTTGCATGATTATACTTCTAATTTAATTATTTTATATAAGTCTGCTCAAAAGAAGTCTTTAAATTATTACAAACAAAGAAAATCAAACACATCACCTTTTATTTTTCAAATTTGTATTGTAATTTCGACGAATAAAGAAGCTCTGTATGATATTTTATATTAATTTTTGCGAATTTAATAAAAAGACAACGTTGAATTCTACAAAAATCTGAACTTTTAGACATGGGAAAGAACAAAGATTTATAAAAATAAAACGAATTAAATGCTTCTATTATCAAAACACATCACGCAAAACAACTACCTCTCACATTCTTGTATTCTATTGGCTTGAATAGTTAACCTATGGTTGAAGTGGGAAGCAAAGTTTAGTTCTAGTCACGTGACCATCAGTTTTCTATATAAGAATCTTGTTCCTAAGTGAATAAATAAATTTCAACTATATCTACATAGAGACGTAAGTAACTGATGGTTCATATTTATATACTAACAAAATTTCATAATGCAAATAAATAACTTAAATTCGTAAAGGAGAAAAAAGTGCTCTTAAAGCGTTTTAGAGTATCGAGAAATAGTAAAATATTGATGTAGAAATTCTGAGAAAGATAGGATGTAACGTGTTATTGACCTCAGTGTCCGTTGGCAGTGGTGAGGACAGACAAACGAGTTTCATATCTACCTTTGAATCCGGTTGTTTCGGATGAGGAAATTTTTATTTTGTCTGACTCGTCTGTAAAAACTATGTTAAATTATGCGTTGAAAACTAACTTTTCTTTAAAATTATCGGCGATTTTTTTTTGTAATTTCGACATAAATAACATTTTTATCAATAAAAAATATCGTATATATACGGAGAGAATTCGTCTTTAAATTAAAATTTTCACATATACCTTTAGCGTAATTGTACATTTAAACATTTTAAAAACTCATTCTACATTTAAATATATATTCTTTTAAAAAAGAATTTTATAAATAGTTTCTCTGTAAACAAGTAATTTTAAAGCCCTTGAATTTCATCAATAATTACTTTTGACTATAAGTAAACTAGTTATCCTTGAACGTTTTATATCTTTTCTTATAACAATTATAGTTAATAATTTCGAAGAATTGTATAGTGTTGTGAAATTTTTAATTATTTAAATCTTTATAATTCAAAGATAAATTCTACCAAGAAGATTAAAATGATTTTCCTAACTTTATTACTCCTGGCAACTGGTTGCTATTCTTTCCCAACTGGAGCACCTACCGATTCTTGCAGCGAATTATTGCCAAAACATCCAAAGAGAGGATCAGATGGGAGTCCAACTTCGGAAATTATCGAACCTCAAACTAGTCCTTCTCCATTCAAGCTTGAAGCTAAAGTATTGAAGTGCGATTTAATTGAGGGTAAGTATTTTAAGTACGGTTTTACTAATCGACAATGTAGTTTTCTATTGATTGTCATTTAAATTTTATCCATTTTGAAGTAATATAACAACGATTTAAAAATATCGATGAGGCTTATAAAATATTTTAAAACCTTATTACGAAGAAAACACCATTCAAAAATATAAAAGAAAAGTGTCATCATGGATGAAATTTCAGAAAGTTCATTACAACCAAAAAATAATCATCTTTAAAGAAATTATTATATTTTTATATTCATCAAATTGTTATACGTTTTATTTAACATTATTTATTATAATATAGAAAGGCTTGTCTTCTATAAAGAATAGACATTACACGTTGCACTTTTTTTTATCAATGCATCTAATTGAAAGGATTAAAAACATACGAAAATAATTAAAATAAAAAGCTGTATTTAATGAAATAAAATAAAATTTAACTTCCTGTTATTTATGATAAAGAATAATTACACAATGTATTTATAAAATCGCTAGCTCAGGTTATCAGACATCCCTTCGCATATGAATATTTCATGAGATAAAACAAGTTATAGAAAACCAGTTTGAATTAATGCTGACGTTATAGAAGCTTAAAAACTTTTAAAAATTAGATAATAACTTATGATATTTACACAAAATTTTATTATAAAGTTTGATAATTTTATTTCCTGTATTAATTTCTAGTTACTCTTAGTGGAGATGAATTTAGAGGATTTATATTGAGACCATTTGACGAAGATGGAAAACCTTTACCTGGAAAATTTTCAGAAGCTTCCGGTTTGCAAACCATAAACTGTGATAAAGAGGGAGTTAGTATTTACTATTTTTTCATATTTATAATGATATTCGAGTTTACAATATTGATTTATCATATATTATCTGTAGGATACTGCAACCCATACAGATCGAGAATTAAAGAAGGATTTCAGATTACAATGGAATTATCCTGAAGGTTGTAGTAAAGATGGTCTTAAAGTTGTTTTCAAGTAAGCTATTAATTGTTTGGTATTATATTATATGTGCAATAATCTATATAAATGAAATAGTCAATATCATAAATATATTTACGACATTAATGAAATAACTCTTAATTTTTCGCACCAGTCGCGTTACTAAAGAGAATATCAGTATGTGTCGGATTTTTAACGAATTAAATTAATTATATAGAAAAATACACAAGTTTAATTTTAGAAATTTAATTGTTAATCTTGTTATATTTTTTCAGAGGGAGCGTAGTGAAGAGCTACGATTTGATCTGGAAAATCGAATCTGAAACTGTCTCATTTAAAGAGTAAACATTTAATGATATTCAACTTTTTATTTTTAATTTTATATTGTAAACGACATGGATTATATTTTTTTTATTATTTTGATAAATAAAATATACAAATATACATTTTGTTGTTTCTTATGATAATATCAATTACGAGACTATCCGTTAATTACGTGTACAAATTTTGAGCTACTGTTAACCCTTCCCTCCCTATAACGATGCATTTTTAAATTAAGATAAATTAAGAAAAACAAACCCCCTCTACTTTTATGTGTACAATAGTTCGTGGACCCCTTGACATTGAAAAAAGAATTTACAAAGTTCTGCGAGTATTTTTAAACTGACAGTTTATTCAGATGAGTAATAAGTGGGCTTATAAGAACAAATTCGTATGCCACTAATGCACAGACTACTTCTCTCCCCTATCGTGTACTATTATATAGTTTTCCCCAATCCCTCCCTTAAACTGTACAGGTAATTAATGCTTGACCCTTATAAACAATTTTGTGAATATAGTTCGAACGTTGATTTCTGCTCACCCGTACAGAATAATAAATAATTCATTCACACTATTCAAGATATTCAAAAATTATTAAATTGGTAATCTGGAATATGTGTAGATATAATATTAATTAATAGGCCTATATTTTTACTACAACAACCAACTAACTACTCTAAAACATAAATGGTCCTATGTTTTTTGGACATATTCATAGTTTTAGGCTAATGGGTCAATTGTAGAGTGACAAATTTTAACTTTACATTTTCTGTAAAAAGTAGATTTTATTCCATAATGATGTGTTTTATTATTAATAATTCGAGAAGGAGATGCACATGGACATTTTAGTCTGTTTTTCTTAATTTATTTTTTCGAATATTTAACTTGATTTAATTTTGCAATTTAAACATACAAAGATCTGATTGAATTTTTTAAAAAAATATCATTAACGAAAAATTTTCAGCATTACAATTTTTTGTAGCTGAAAAGCTACAAAAAATTGATGTGAAAACAAATTGTGCCTTCCCAGAGAATCCAAATTATCAGAAAAAAATCAGGATGAACTTTGACCTTTTACTTCCTAGATGATACCCGGTTTGTGTGTATGTGGAAGGAGGATTAATACGAACGGAAGAGCGCATTATAGTTAAAATAGGGGCGGATTACCGGAATTAGAATTAGTAATCGATAAGAAAAGTTGCGAAATCATAGATTTAACATCTAAAAATCATCAGTCAAATTAAATACAATTAAAATCACAAGTTTACCAGACGTACGGTAATTACATTTACGATACTTTGGTTTAATGTACTGTACGTATACAGTAGAAACCTTAGTATTACTGTACGTGAATGTACTATAATTTGAAAGAAATTCTGAAGTAGGCTCACCTAGTTATAAATATGTATTTTATGTAAAACTTAGTAATTTGAGAATTAATGATGTCATATAAATTGGCGGAGCAATAATCTCCCTTAACATGAATATGGATGAAACAGTTTAGTTTTTGGAATAGATTCACAGAGAGTAATTTAGCTATAAAGTATCAAATTTAAATGATAACGAAGGAGGTTAGCTAGCTCCACGCCAAATAAAAGACCTTAAATTCAGAGTCATCTGGAAAATGTATGTAGTTGCACAAAAACTACAATAGAGACGACTAGTTATCTGTTCCTAAAAATAAAATTTGGTTAAGGCCTGTAATAAACAATGAAATCAAAGCTCAGTGTTTATAGATGAAATTTCGATAATGAAAATACTTGCAGAACTCTCAAAACAGAGACGACGTATTTAGGTTTTGTTTATGTCAAATAAAACATCAGAATTTGTAAGTTCTTAATTAATATTTTTATCAAATCCTGCTAATGAAACCGAAATAAACTTATATTGCTTTTATTTACTTGAACATTTTGCAAACTTTCTGGCATCAGTTTTTCCAGACTCAAAAATTGCCAAATTTTAACATTAGGAAAGATAAAAAATGTTACAGCTACGAGATATAAACAACAATAAGCTTCTATTTTAAAAAAATAAAAAATTCACTATCCTGATCGACAAGCAACTGATAACAAATAAAACAATTTGCATACTTGTAAGATATTTCAAACTAGAGAAACACACAGATGAGTGAGTTTTTAAAGAGATATTTAAAGATAAAAACTACTTATTACTTGCCTACAGCAATTCATTTTGCAGCATGTGGCAACGTGTTCTAAACTCCACCTTTCATTATTTTTAATCTTTAAAAATATAACTATAAATAATTTAATTTAAATACAATGAAAAACTTTATAATTTCTTTAGCTAACAAGGAAAATACATCAATTCAAAACATTTCTCTTGGAAAAATTTATTTAATTATGAAAAGAAAAATTTTTATTTAAAGCTCTAGCGGTTCCTAACTTAAAAATATTATTCCAGTGTTTTTTAAAGTAAGTAAGTTTATTTCCAAACAACACAAAAACATTCAAAACAAAAGTTATTATTAGAAAGGTATCTGGTGATAAAATGTGAACTTAATGTGAAATATGCGCCTGATGGTGTTTGTATATTTCCTTGATATTAGGTCGTGTTTTTGAGAAGCATACCATCTCATTTTCAAGGGCCTTTAGTCTTTCTCTCTTCTTTGTTTTAATATTTACGAGTGTAGAGAATCCCACTTCACAGAGATACGACGTGGAAAATTGCAATAAAATATTAAGTGCTTTGAATCCTATATTGGGATATTCCTTCAAAATGAATTCAGACTCATTTCTGAAGGCTTCAATCTTAACGTACGATCGTTACGTATATCAATTAATTCTTCGGCTTCTGCAAGACTGAACTTACTTATTTCTGATGTTGTCTCTACAAAAGGATTTCGAGTTCAGTCGTACAAATCAACTTATATGTCGGGGAAATAATGGTTAATTTTTTCTTCTAACGACGTTAAATGACTGTAAATAAGTTTTTGCAAATTTGTATTGTTACATTTTCCTTTGGTAACTTGAATAAACATTTCTACATTATTTGCGTTTACTTTTATCTTCCACATTTTTATTTTATCATTAAAAGCGTTAATTTTATCTACAGATATTAAAATATTTTCATTTCTACCTTGCATGCTTGAGTTTAACTTGCTCGGGTGATCAAATATGTCTGTTGAATAAGCTAGTTTGGAACACCAAGAATCATTTTGTAATAATACACAAAATTCTGCTTTGTTTTCAAGTTGAAAAAATATTAATATTTCTTCTTTTAAGTTCAAAAACACGATTTAATACGCGACCTTTCGAAAGCCATCTCATTTCGGTATGAGGAAGCAGGTTATTATGATGAGATTGCATCTCTTCACATAGTTTTGCAAATATACGCGATTTTAATGGTCTAGCTTTGATATAATTAACAATTTTAATGATTTCTTCTAACACTCTTTTGAGTTCAGAGCCTATTGTCTTTGCTACCAATGATTCACGATGAATGAAGCAGTGAGTTGTTACAATGTTTTCGTTTCTCTTTTTAGCGTATGAAAGAAATCTTTTTATAGTTCCAATCATTGAAGGGGTGCCATCTGTGCATACACCCACGCAAGATTTCCAAGAGAGACCATTTGTATTAAAATATGTGTTCATGATATCAAAAACATTTTTTTCCGTCGTAGTTTTTTCGAATTCCTTACAGCATAAAAATTCTTCCAAAATTTCATCATCCAATAAATCGAGTGAAGGCAAGTAATTGTGCTTTACCACCAATATCAGTTGCTTCATCCAACTGTAAACTAAATAATTTCGATTCGATTATTTTATTTATAACTGATTTTTCAATATCAACTGATAGATTACTAATATGTCTACTCATAGTGTCATTTGACGAAGGAATTGTTTTTATTTCCTGTTCTGCTTCAGCACCAAAAATTGTTCTCACAATTGCTGTACAGGCTGGGCGAATCAAAGTTTCGCCAATAGTATGAGGCTTCATTTCTCTCGCGATTATTTCTGCGACTAAATAACTGACTTCTTGAACACGGCCAGCAATTGTATATTTTATTTTTACAAAACTTTTACTTTGTTTTTCTTGTAATTTTATCAGATCTTTGAAATATTCAAGAGGTTTTTAGACAAGTGATCGTGTTTTGTGGAGAAGTGTCGCAATAATTTACTGGGAACCATAGCTTCATTTGATAAAACCAAACCACGCACAATACATTTTGGTCAGGGAATTAATTTATCATCACATCAGATAAATCCCATTTTTAGATAACTGTCTTGATATAAGCGAGTTTTTACGTTCTTTTTTAATGCAACATTTTTACGAGAACTTACTGTTTCTGTTTCTCTTGTTTTAATAGTGCTTGTTTGTTGCTCAACGTTAAAAATAGTCAAATCTTCACTAATAGAGCTCTCAATTTTTGATGATTTACTAGTGCTAATTGGTTCCTTAGCTTTGCTACCAATAACTACTTCTTGATCATTAGAATCTTCACGTTTTCTTTTTTTAATGAAAAAATTATTCGTGATATTGAACGACATAATTAATTTAAATATTTTATTATAAAATTTAATTACAAGTTCATAATTTAATTTTTCTTGCTGTAAAGAAGAAAGAATATTTGTATATGATGCTTTTTTGCTATTGTCTGAACATATAACAATAATAAAAGCAAACTACTTACTGCATTCAACGCATTTATATTGCACTTCTACTCTCTGCAGGAACAGAAGAACAGACAATAATAACTAGTTCGTTTTGTTTCTAGTATTTACGTGTCGCCAATTACAGAGTCAGGCCAAGACTCCACTAGCGTAAAAACGGGCGTAAAAACCTTCACCGTAAAAACTTTTAATCACGGATTGCGGTGGAGGTCCAACTAGCGAAGTTTTTACGGCGACAGTACTATCGAAGTTATAAAGGAAATGATTATATTCTACAAGTTTTTTCTGTACTATAATTACAAATGTAGTAAAAATAATATCTTTACTTTCATATATTAACTTTTATTATCGCATTATTAATTAAGATAATATACAGCACTTATTAAGCTTAGCTTTTTTCATTATATACTCCTCTAAATTGAAGTATTTTCCTTTGGCCGTCCGTATCGCGTGTTTTAAGCATCCATTATCATAATCGGGATACTTCTTGTCGTACAGTACATACATGAATACTTTCGGATGCTTTCGATAAATCTTTCCAGATCTATACTAGAGTAGCCACGAGGGAACGTACACAAAAGCTCGTTTTCCGCCATTTTCGCACCGTGTCACAATGACCTAGATTTCATTGACTTCTGATTGGTGGATGGTACCGTTTTACCGCCGTAAGCGCGTCGAAAGTTGAACACTGCTCAACTCGCTTTTACACTGGTTTTACGAGCTGCTTAAGTATAAAATATCAGGATCACGTGATTAAAAGCTTTTACGGCGAGGGGTTTTTACGCCATTTTTACGGTAGTGGAGTCTCGGCCTCACTGAGACAAGTGGCAACATAACAAGATTAGTAGAAAAAAACCAATATTCATTTTTTTTTATAATTGTTTTAATTATTTATTTAGTTTAATACTTTAATTCAATTATTTTAAGTAATTTTAATTTAATTAAATTTCGGGGCACCCTTGTGGCGTACTTGCAGCACCCTAAGGTGCCGCGGCACCCACTTTGAGAACCACTGGTCTAAGTGTTTCTAGCATCACTTGTTCCATATATTGAAGTTTATCTAAGTCCGAGTATTGGATTTCTTCCTGAAATTGTAGTTTTGATTATTATATCACACAATGTTTGGCATGAAAATATCAATATTAAAGCCATAAAGATCAATTATATGAATTATTTAAATAACAGGTTAATATAGTTTTTTAAATGTTAAAGTTAGTTATATATAATTATATAATACATTTCTTTTGATGTTTTCATTAATTTCTCGGCGAACTTTTTCTTGTATATCATTATTTATTGCCAAGTAATACGAACACCAACTTAAAGTGAGACTTGTGTCAAAACTATTCAAATTAAAAATGAAATGAATTTTATATAAATAATTAATTTAATCACTATTAAATTTAAAGATAATTTACCCGACTATAAAGAAAAATACAGCATTAGCAACAACTTGGTCAGCTATGAGTTTTCGCATTTTCCCATTCGTGTGATCCTCCGCTTCTATCATCGTTTGCAAAAGATGTGACAGTTAAACGTAAAAATAAAATGCATTATGACTGAAATATTAGATATTTCTGATAAAATTTAATTAATTAAAACCCACGAGCTGCAACTTTAAAATATATGAAATATTAGCGAGGTTGAGGTCAAAGTTTTAAACGCGAAAACGTGTACGTCGGACATTCAGCGCCGCTTTCCCGTAAGCCTAGAAGTTTGACAATGGTGTTTGGAACGTCGAGCATGATTCCACCGACTATCCAAACACCATTGTCAAACTTCTAGGCTTACGGGAAAGCGGCGTTGAATGTCCGACGTACACGTTTTCGCGTTTAAAACTTCGGCCTCAACCTCGCTATTGAGTAAGATGTAATACTCAGATGACCCTCTTTACGAGCTTTTATGATTTCGTGACACGCTTCAAAAACGTTACGTGTAGAAGGTTTATTCATCATATTTTTAACATAATCAACAAATCTTCTCATATATGTTGGAAAGGGTACAAATTCCGGAAAACATACTAAATTTTTGAAAAAATTTAAATATAAATTGACATCTCTGTAAAATTATGTACAATTAAAAAGAAGATAAAAATGAAAATTTACTTGACATGTTAGCTAAAATGTTAGTAGAATCAACTGACAGAGTAGCCAGTATTGATTGAATAAATTTACTAGTTTCGTTTTTTTGTACGTTGCTCCCAATTCCAAACTCATATCTGCAGATGATGTGAAAAGCTAACTTATTGTAATGTGAAATACTAAATGGTTTCCCTTTTGTTCTTTCAACAATATCCATAAATATATTTATTGGTTTAATCATAAGAGTGGTCATCTAAATAGTAAATATGAAATTCCAAATTATATTGTTACTTCAGGGATTCCCATAAAATAATGTAAACTTTTATCAATATATTGAGATAATATTGTAATGACCGGATTGAATTGATGAAATAAAGTAATGCAAAACATGAGTGATCTGCCTTAGAAAGTATCTACTTGGAATATTTTTTCTGGAAAATTATCTCCTATGGTATTAGACAAGTTAAGAAAAATCTAAAAATCTTCACTAACGAGCTGGTCCATGCAGCCTGCTCGTCGGTGAGAAGCAAACCTATGATCAAAATTGTAAAAATCGAATTCGTTAATTTTTAAAGAATTTTTAACAATTTTAAAAATTCGTTAAGACAGTGTCTCCCCGCCAAGTAAAAAAGTCACTGGCTGACTACATATACAGGAATCAGAGTTGCCGATATTCGGGGGTCGCTTTCTCCGCCTCCCAAATAGCTGAAGTAATTCCGAATATCTTCTTGGAAAGAAAATTGTTTTTTTAGGTAGTGTACAAAATTTCAAGATTTTCTGCATAAAGCTGTTACCGAAATACAAGCAACTGGAAAGTACAAAAATCGCCAAAAAAACTATTTTCTTCTTGCTTCCTTTTATTCGGTCGGCACCAGCACTGAACAGATTATACGTCATCGTCTTATGTATTGACGTAATAATACAACTATTAAACAATGTAAAAAAATACTAGTAAATTTAAACTGCAATCAACATATCGCCATCTGTCGGAAACTTCAATAAACAATAAATTTGTACTAATTAAATGTTTATTAAAGTTAGTTACAGTTAATTCATTTTAAATGACAATGTTTATTTTTTCGAACTTTCTTGGACTATTATTTGTTTTTTTTGTCTAACTTTATCATTATTTTGAAAAGAGATAGGAGTATAAAACTAAATTAAAATTTTTTTCTTTAGGCCAATATCTTTGAACAAACATGTTAAAAGCTTAAAATAATAATACGAATAATTCCTACAGACTAATATAAATATTCTCTTAATAAAATAATACTCGTTTTATCCAATACAATATGCAACAAATGAAAATACTCAGAAAAGTAATTGTTTAGTGTGACATTTTTAGCAATTTACATTAATGTTCAAATTGAATATTTACTGCTTTAAATCAATCAGTTCTACTTACATTAACAAAATTAATCAATTAGAATTAGTCATAAATACGATAATCCATTTATAATAATGAATTGATATAAATTTTTATTGTTAAATTACAGTATTGTATTATTTTACTTTCCCGGCTGTTATATATATAACAGAGTGAAAGTATGGCAATCGGTCAAAAAATGACCCACCACATTTATATATTTTTGGACTCTGGGGATTTTCAAACGTAGAGAAATGCAAAACAACTTGTGGGGCTTTTTCTGTATGTTTGGATGTTGTGTGAGGGGCACGATTTTGTTTACCTTCTTTGAAGCTTAATTAGTCCTTTACTTTCTGTCGAAAATTTCAGAAATTTTGCAGGGAGGTTTGTGTATTAGGGGAATTGATGCTATTAAATTTTGGTGATTAATGTTCGGCGAGGTGGGAAAATAAAGGGGGTCGTGTGTCTTATCTCGAGTATGGTCGGACTTGAAGAAGATTCTATTTCTTATTAGTATTTACGATTTTTATGAAGCTTATCCTTACCCTTAAAATTAAGCTCTTTGTCATTTTATGATAATTAAAAATATAAAAAGTTTTTAAATAAAATATCATAAAATTTTAAATGTTGTCGGAAAAATTAAGCATGAAAATGATCGGTTGCTTTTTCTTGTTTGCATTGGGAGTTTATTATTCGAATTTTAGACCAAACACGAAATGATAGTTATTAATAATAATAATGTCAATAAATCAATAAATAATGCGAGTGCGATTGTCCTCCTTCGTGAAAAAGAGCCAAGAATCCATGAACGTATCTCAAAGAATTGCTTGTTACAGATTCACAATATTCCTATCAAAGATGTGGAATATATTCTAAATAAACGTATTGAATAACCTTCTTCTATACAACATTTCAAGTTTTATTACCAGAGGCACAAATGAACAGAGATTTGTAGCTACTAACACGTGAGTACGCAACATAGATTTGGCCATGTGAAAAGCAACTTCATCTGAAATCAAGTCCTGCAACTCTTATGCTTTGACCTTGTGACTTGTTAGTAGTCATTGCAAAGCATAGACTGGAAATTGTAGGCGTTTAAATTCGAATGGGTAGTTTGTTGGGATTAATGGTATGCTATTAAATGATAAATCTGTCCTTGAATTTTGAATGTTGGCATCCGTTACAGTTTAATTTATTATAAAATTTGTAAACTTAGGTATGAATATATGTAGACTATATGTAATTCAGATTTAAATGTCGAACTCGATTAAACTAAACACTTTACTTACAATTACGTATTCTATAAAAAAGTGAAATCACATTACACATGATTAAAAGTTTACAATGCATTATGCACTTTTAACTATTAATAATTATGTATAAATTTAGTCTATTCTCAAAAGTGTTATACTCTAACATAGACAATATGAGTTCTTTTTTTTTATAAAATTAGAAAGAAAACATTTATATAAAATTCATTTATGAAATCATTCACAAAGCTATTGCAGTTGCCTTTACCATAATGCCATTTTTTGGTCGTAATATAAAGATCGAAAAATCTTCTTGAATCTCCTAAAACAAATGATAAATTACATAATTTATGTAGAAAAATACTTCATGAATTTAAGAAGTCAAATTAATTGCGACATGTAATTGAAAATATCAAAATAAATTTGCATTTACCGAATTTTCGTGAAGTTCTAACTTGTAGCGTCTTATAAGATTTGCCAAAATTAATTTCATAACTATTTCAGCTGTTCTCATTCCAATGCAATTTCTTGGACCTATCCCAAAAGGTTGATATATTGATGGATCTATGAGTCCTGCATTCTTAGATGAAAATCTGAAAATTATTCAATTTTAATAATAAATGTTAGTTTCATAAAAATGAGAGAAGGAAAAAAAATATTATCCTATTTATATATAAAAATAAAACCTATCAGGGTCAAACTTTTCAGGTTCATTCCAATAATTGCTGTCTTTATGCAAGTTACGTACTGGAATCACAATTGTAACTCCTTTTGGAATAGTCGTATTCTTGTATTGAAAGTCTTCAGAACATATTCTAGTTAGTGACCTACACAATTAAGAATAAAGTAAGACTTATCATCTGCAATAATTACTACTCTATATATAAAAAAATTTACGTGTCTGAATGAGGATAAAAACGTAATGTTTCTGATATCACTTGATCTAAGTACTTTAATTCCGATAGATCTGTATATTCAATCTCATGCTGTAAAACAAATAGTTTCTTATAAGACAGATATCTTGAGCTGAAATAAAGTTTTTTAAGTAGATTTATAAGCTCAATGAAGATGAAAAAACTTATAAATTGATATTAAGGCATAAAAGATTAAGACAATTAAAGAAATGTAATTTAGTTAGTTAAAGACTTCAAAATGATGCTTTTACATATAGAGAAAACTTATTCAACATAGTTATGGTGAGACGTAGAAAAGTATAGAATGAGAGTAGAATTGAAATAGAAAATAAGATGTTTATATAATAATTGATTAAATTATGTTAAGGCAGATAATGGTAAAATGGAATAGTTCACACAGTAAATGGAATGAGAAAAGGAAGTATGTTTTCTCAGTTGTTACTTAGTAGAAAAATTAAGATAAAATTGAGAAAAATGACAGAATATGAAGTGGAGAAAAATATGAGAGTGATGTTTATAGATGAAATAATGTAGTGAGGAGAGAAAAGCGAAAAACAGAAACAAATAATAGCATGGAAAAAAGTTATTAAAAGCTACGGCATGACATTTAGCAATTTAGTGACAATGACTAGAAATTATTTTAATATTACTTTTCTTCTTGACTTTCACTAAGTTTTTTTTAATACCACTGTTTATGTTCAAATATTTTAAGCATTGAGAAAGTGTGCGGAAATAGAGGAGAAATAATTAAGAAAACTAATAATTAGAGAGTTTTTCAGTGTGTTGGAAGTAATACGTAGAAAAGAAGTAACTATTAAGTATAATATAATGCTGTCTGAAAGCTGTTATATATATATATATACACACACACGTATGATATATAAGTTATATATCATATATATAGTAGGCATAATGTATGATATAGGCCTTGCACTGTAGATAAACTAGAAAAATAAGATAAAATATAAGCTAAAAAGATGACATTTTTAAAAGTACAGTACAATAAAGAATAAATGAGAAGTGATAACATTAGATTAAAAAAAACAAAGAATAACGAAAACGACTGAGGTATAGAATATTATTGAATAGAAAAAAATGAAGAAAGAAATATTATTGAAGAGAAAAAAAATGAAGAAAGAAATATTACGAATTGTTATGGAGAAAAATATGCCTAACAAAAAATCAAAACGAAGGCCAAGGAGATGAATGGAAGAAATATTCAAGGTTGGGAAAAGAGAATGTTGCCTAGTTGATAGAAGGGAACCTACAAGAATATTAATGATAAGAGTATCTAACAAAATGGGAAGGTTCACCGAGTTGATCCGATAGCAAAAAGCTGAAAACTAATATTTTATTAATTTTCTGTTTCTGCTTGATTGAATCTTAATAAAAACAACTTAATTACATTATTTTCAACATTTTTACTAATCTCCAGACGAACCGCTTCTTGTATTTCAGGATATTTGCATAGATAATAGGTGCACCATGATAACGTAGTACTTGTAGTATCATATCTAAACAATAGAAAAAGTTTAGTCTATTTTATAATTAAAAATAAAATAATAGATTTGCTATTAACAAAATATATAATAACCCAGCTGCCATAAATAAAACAGCATTTGCAATAATATTGTTAATTGAGAGCTTCTTCATGAAATTATTTTCTTCGTCTTCAGCATCAATCATGATTTGCAAAAAATCTGGTGGATGATACTAGAAAAAAAAACAATTTTAATTATTAACATTACTTTTACAATTTATAAGAATGAAAAACAATAAACCTTACGTCGGATATCTTTCGAGAAAAGACCATTTGTCGGCATGTATCAAAAATCATTTTAGCAGAAGGATAATTAATCATATATTTGACAGCATCCACAATTCTTCTAAAGTACATGGGAATCGGTTCGAATTCAGGAAAGTAAACTGCATAGTTAAGTTAATATTAAATAATTTTCACTGTTTATAATATGTTATACTTATAACAAATGTTTACTTGATAATATAGATGACAAATCGACAATATCGGCTTCAAGTAATTTGTGTACAGATTGAACAAATTTATTCGTCTCCTCATTTTGTACATTGGTCTGAATTCCAAAAGCTGTTCTACAAGTTATATCAAAAGTTAATTTTTTGTAAAATTGATCGACATCAAATGTTTTCAGCTGTTTTCCGACGTTCTCCAGAAATATGTTTATTGGTTTAGACATAAGAGTGCTTATCTAAAATATTTAAAATTGTTGATATATTTATGCAATAACAAATTATACTTTTTTCTTTCACGGATAATGTCAAATATTCATAGTTAATTTTACTATTCTGAACCTCAAGTCTTATAATATAGCTTACCATTCTAAGTTTAGCGGAACTGAAACCTTTGCTCAATATACTTCTGGAACTTTTCCATTTGTCATCTAATTGAAGTGAAACCGCTTTACAGATAAGATGATGAGGAATTCCTGCATCTGGAAGTATCATCTGGAATGATTAATAATATAATTTAAATTTAAATGATAGAATATTTAGTAATAATGACTATTTCATATTTACATCTCTATTAGCAAAAGTTTTGAACTCCTTTATCTGTATAAGTTTTATTAATTCCAAATCACGACAGACAATACAAGGTTTCCCTCCGAGGAAGAAACTGCAAAAGTAATATTTTAAATTAAAACACACTTAATAATTAACGAATTTAAAGCATAAAGCAAATAAAAAATAAAAGAATTCATTTAAATACGTATGTATCTAAAGATTTTATTTAAAGATTCTGACTTAATTATATTATTTTAATCAATTAAATAATAACTTTGTAGAGACGGAACGTCCGTAAATTATATAGAATTTATTATACACAAATTATACTTTTGATATTATTTAGGAAGATATTGCTTTATAAGTATAAATTTAATAATTTACCCAAAAATATTTCCATATTTTTCTATCCATTCATTAAGGCATTTGTCTCTCTGTAAATAGGATGAATTTCATAAGCATTATATAATAAATCCTCGATTTTAATAGTATATGAAAAAAATTGATTGCCTTTTTGTGATATTCCATTAAATTTCCAGTAATGAAATGGGGTTTTGGTCCTGGAATCCCATATCTTTGAAACACGCTCATTTTTCTTTTTCTCCATCTTTAAATATAAAAGTATTTAATTTTTCATAAATTTAATAAGGTATTAAATATCTTAGAGATTTCATTAATTAGAAAATAAGAATAACGATTGTGATCTCCTGTTGAGACTCATAAAAATTGTAGACCCATAAATTCCCATTGTCGTTCGTCCGTCTCTTATTTGTCAGTCTATCCTTCCTATTATCGGAAATGGCGTTAGATAGATGAAAGCCGAGATCAGATGAGGAAAGCTTAGGACAGGAGACTTCGATTAACTATATACTAACTTCCGATGCAAACCAGAATTCACGTTATTTCAATTAAAATTTTTCCCCTGAAGGGAGTTAGGTAGATGACCAACAAGGCTGTATTGCTAACAGGAAAAGCATGATGTACAGGGGCTAAATCAAGGAAACATTTGTTGTTTCTTATTCGTTTTATAAAATATATTTTCCAACAAATTTTATTGCGGTGGGTAATGTTGTGATTAATCATAACTAACAGAATTTTTCAGTGTTCATTCTTACGAACATTTATGATTTCTTAAATTTTAACCTAGATCATAGTTTTAGATCAAATTGTCTAAGACAGATTCAGAAAACATGTTTAAAACGTGCCTTCTGTAAAACCGTAGAAACTATCAGAACTAATAGATTACTATCAAAAGGAAAAATTCTGTCCGGTACTTTTGCGCTCATTTTTAAGACAGATATTTACTGAATTTACATAATAAACAGTAGGCTTACTTTTATTCGTTCATATTTTTCTGAAGAATAAAATCTGCTATGGCAATGCTGAATTATTTTAGAAAAAAACATGGAAATCAGAGAATAAAAACTGAATTTATATTTCACAAACAGAATTCTTTTGACAAAATATGCATTAAAACTCTGAAGCCTTTATCTATTGGCTTTGATAAGATATTGTCATCAGCACTGTAAAGATAAATTGTACGAGCAATTATTTTATCATGACATTGTCACAATACCGGGCTGCAATTTTTATCACAATCATTTAACCATTTAATTTAAAATATATACTCTCTACCTCAAATTAGTAGTATCTTACCCCTGTACATAATACTTTTCCTGTTATCAATAGAGTCCTGTCGGTCACCTAACTCCTTTCGAGGGAAATTTTATGATTGAAATAATGTAACTTTCCCCTCAAAACGGATGTTTATGTATAGAGTAATTTTAAAATCCTAGGTAATGTCAAACACTTTGGTTACTATTAACAATCATTTACAACGCAAATTTTTTATGCTGAAAAAAAATGTGGCAATATTGCCACAGTTTGTTTTTGCAGCAGAAAACATTGCATTCAGAATTCAATTATTCAGTAAAACGTATTTAGAAAAAAGTGGCATTTACAATGTTATGGACATTACGTGCTTCAAATAGACAAGTCATTGTTGATATAGCTCGAGCTATTAACTTATGTTCCATTAGTTCCGTTAAAGATAATTTCAAGACTTCTGGTGATTGATTTATGTTATTATTTGTTAATGGAATACAATACGTGGAACTTCAATGAATATTTAATAATATGAAAATAATATTTATTTGAATAAAAATTAGTATTTTGTTGATGTTTAGTGTAATTATCACATATAATGTTAGAAACTTATTTTGTAAAGCTGAGAAATTTTAAAACTATAAATTAAAAATATGTTATATTTTAAGCGACATTTTTAAAAAGCACAGAGAACAGAAAAAATTGTCAGTGACTAAACAAAAATATCGAAATGCATTTCGTCGCGATTGTATGTTTTCTTATTTGTTTAAACTAATAAAAGCTCCAAGAAAAAATAACCAAAATTCATTTAATAAACAGCGTAAAATATTTCAGTGTTTAGTATAAAAATTAGAAAATTGCAGTTAAGAAAATTAATAAATGCAATATTGTTATTCTTGATGTAATTTGACATACAGTTGTTCTATATTAAATTATTATTATTCCGATTATGAGAGATAAACGTAATTTGTTTATTAAATATCTCATTAATTTTCAAAATAATGTTTAAATTAATAATACTTACCTTATCCAGAATGATACAAGACATACAAACGTAGCCAATAATAATATTACGAGAGACATATTGAACTATTCACATACGAAATCTTAACATGTCTATTAATATAAAAATACAAATACTGGTAAAATAATACATTATATATCATTAAAAAACTTTAACTAAATATAAATAAATTATTACGAAAATATAATATCTAATTAAACATTTATAAACTTTTGAAGCTTTAGAAAACTTGCATGAAAAATATAATTTTTTCGAGTCTATTCTTTTTATCTTTTTCACAGTCTAACTCAAAAGTAACAGCAAATTGGCTTGAAGTAATAACTAAATCTTCGTTAAAACAATTATTATAGATTATTAAAAAAATTTACACAGTTAAAAATGATCAAAACGTTGACCTTTTATTTTAGGATTTGGCGCTTTCACAATAAAACGATAAAAATTTTCCACAATATCTACAGTGTCTTGTGTTTACTGTGACATACCTAGATATTTTCCAAAATTCCATGACCCATCACAAGTAAAAATATATAAAAAATGTAGTATAAAGTGCTGGACGTACAAAAGAAATTGCTGGTTTACTGTCTTTTTTACTTATGATAACATATAAATATTTGAAATTAGCTTATAATAGATTTTATTTTGAGTTTATTTCTTAACAACCTAGAAATCATTCTGGAGGAAGTATCACGCAGTTCTAGAGTGATACTTCCTCTAGTGATCGTAGGTGCATGCGACAGAGACATTATTTACGTATCGTTTTAACAGTGACTATGATACGCAATTTAGCCAGTTTTAATAACTTATTTAGTGATACATATAGAATATACAATATTACAAATTAAACTTGACATTTTCCAGCTGGCAACAGCAAAAAGTATTAATTAGAAAGTCATGAGAGTTTGGGAATGCCTTAACGAGATAATGAGAATTTTTCTACAGCAAAAAAAAGTTAGTTCCAAAAACAATGCCCGATGGTTTCGAATAACCGATAGCGTGGTCGTCAAGATCTCCCGACCTCTCCTTAGATTTCTTTCTGTCAAGTTATGTGAAAGACATAATTTAAGTAACTTCGGTCAGAGTAATTGCAGAGTAAATTAGAGATATTTGTAAAATTCGTCGTCTTTATTCTGTATAATGGTGCTTTTTAAACACTTTATTTTTGTTGTAAATCTTTTCGATGATTACAGAAATACTTTTTGCTGTTTACTCGGTTTTAGTTTTTATTCACGAAGTCTGCAGAATATCACAAGATCGCACGATCTTGTGATATTAAACGAAAAGTGTTTTCAAAAATGATTGTCCACGCATATATTTATTAATTTGTGAAATCTCTTCGCAAAATGCTGCAGCGGAGTATATTAGAATCAATTACACACACAAAAAAAATTTAAACAGGTAACTGGTATTTATTATTAATTACATATAGTTTTTTTTTAAAAGTCTCTCGCTTTATTGGCACTAAGACAACATTCTAGTGATTCCTGAGTTCAGCCAGACCCAAAACAAGATAGTGAGGAATTGCACCCGAATATATCCGAAACAAAGTGCCCACGATAAACTCCTTAGGATCCCGACCCAGATTAGAACACGAATCATGCAAAGAAGACAGCATCGGGAAATGCATACAAAAATGCACACGGATTTAATCCGTGCACTTCATGACTTCAGCGGAATGCTTTTCCACTAACGTTTTTCCCCGACTACTTGCGGCTGTTTTGTTTGATTTGTTTATAGACATATTATCTTATCTTACGACACGAATAAAGAATTACAATAGTTTCAGAATAATTTATTTAATATTTTTTAATTTTCTCGATATTTTGATTACCCTGCATAATGATTTCACTGTCGATGTTTCTATCTCGGAAATATTTTCACATTTTATTTGGACATCAATATTTATGAAGAATAGTTCTTTAATTTAATTATATCATTATCTGTACAAAGAATTAATATGAATCTAAAACTAATTTTAAAATACATCATTTAGGAAAAGGATGTTTAGCATGAAAAAACTCAAAAAACCAGGAGAAAGGCCACGAATACTAATAATTGCAAAAGATAGAATGGGTTGACTATGATATAGAGCAGGGCTTCTTAAACATTTTTTTATTCACGACCCCATTTATGATTGTGATTTTTTTCGCGACCCAAAAAAAAATAAAAGAAAGATATATACAAATTTGCAAAAACAATAATGGTGTGCTACCACAGTTCACTCTTGTGTTACAATGGAACAGAGATGATTGAATACACTGAAAAGCGACAACACTATGCTAGTTCACACTACAATCAGTGTTGCTGAATTGTCTCGTTGCACTAGAAATGACACAAAGCGCTACTCACGAAACCTATGACACAAAGCATGCCTCATGTGAGACCTGAAAGGCCCCTGGGTCTAAAATAATTTTATTAATAATATTAAATATTGTCACCAAATATTAATTCATTTTTGGTGAGAAAATAATGTTTTAAACGTGGGAAAAGGCAGATAACAGATGCTACTTCCTTTCACAGAAGTTAGAACATCCTCTGACTTTCCCTTATCTGGTTAAAATCCCGCTCAGATGGGAAATGTTTACCCCTCATTCATTCCCAAGAGTTACTGGCCGATGATTGGTCGAAAATCAGGAGATATAGAGGAAATTTGTCAGAATTCGGGAGTTCATCGACAGACATAGAGAGTGTCCGAACTCCATACCTTTTCCTCCTGATGACCAACGCCCTTAGACGAGTCATATACAGAATAATTCCAGAGTTAGCACTTGGAAGTTATACTTTGATTTTGTGCACATATTGATCTCCCATGGAAAGAAGTAAATGAACTTTATCTCCAAGGTGTCCCGTGCACACAGAGAAGAAGACGAACGACAACTAAAACAGGTTGTATGTTTTATAACGATTTTGTGAGCTCTCTCTCTCGATCGTGAATCGGGTATAGTATAAGTCCATGCCTATATCGTGTATCTTAATTGTCGTATTTATATCCCTCGTTCATTAGTATTTTGTATTAGTTTTTATTTTCTTTTGTTTTATTAAATTTATTGTTGATTGTTTATCAAACGAAATGACTCTTAATTTGTGTCTGAAAGAAATCGCACGTGTATTTGTCCGCGGATCGATAAATTGACAAACTGGTGTCGGGACCCTGACATAGGAAGAAGGTGAATTCGCCCTCACCAACTTCCGCTCTAAATTACAATTTTACAGTAAAGCCCTCCACACTCGTTTCCCTACGTTTGGGAAAGGCCGTTCTTTGGACGACCGAGAACTGGTCTCACCGACTAGTGCCAGTAAGTGGCGTAACCTACTTTACGTCCTGGCAGATCTCACACTCACTTTCAAACTCATTTTCAAACTCTCACAAATTATTTTCTATATTTTGCATTAAAATCTCGATACCCCAAGATTTCGCTAAGCGACCCCAAATGGGGTCGCGACCCTTAGTTTAAGAAGGCCCTGATATAGAGTGTATTGCAAAAGTTACTACGAAGTCCGTGCAAGTACTGTAAAGATTATTATTTGTAACGCATAAAAACGTAATATCGAAAGAAGACTTACCGTAAATGGATCCTTTGAAAGAGATTTGTACGTCTCGCAAGAAAATCTTTAATGAATTGATGTTTTAAGCTATTGTATAATACGAATGTAACAATCTCTGAACGATTTATTTATTTTTCTGTTGTACAATATCTACTGCGAATAAGAAAGAGTAATGTCTTATTACACAATCATTTATCTTTTAATCTGTAGATTGATAAGTAACACTTTATAAAAACGGATTAAGAACGAACTAACTAGACAATCGAGTAAACAATTCTGATAAAACTTTTGTGATTGATACAAAATTGAGATAGTTCCAAAGTATAGACTTAATTTTAACGTTTTTTTTTCGTTTTTTTTCTCACTTTAATACACACAAAAATTTCCATAAAATTCCAAATACAATATATAACATTTTATTAGGAAAATTGAATACAAAATATTAAATTTAGTACTGTATATGCATTAATTAATTCATTAAAAATGGCTGACGGTAATTTACATAGTAAAAATATTGAAAAAATACTAATAAAAAATTTTTGATTTTCATAATTTTTTTATGTATTCTGAATTGTCAATGATGACTTTGAAAAAACAAATTGTGAAGACGACAAATTTTTATTTGTATTATTCAATATTTTTACTATTATTAGTATATAACTTTAATATAGCTAAATCTTAAATATGAAAAATTTGAACTTGTTATTCATTTTAAAATACATTAGAGTCAATTACCAGTGATTAAAGATTAAGGGGATGGGAGATAGAAAGGGGTAATAAAATTTTACTCGTTATTGATATTTACAATTTCCTTTATTTATAAAATTCATCTTTAACTTCAAAGTTAAGTTTTTTCCTATATTATTATAATAATATAAAAAGATTTTAAAATAAAATCTCATAACAGATGGCGCCACTAAATGTTGCCGGGAAAGTTAAGCAACTCGTTACTGAATTTTTACATGAAATTTTAACATGTTTGAAACATATAAAATAGAAATTGATGTTAAAAATAGGAAAATTTACTCGAAAACNGTTTATTTAAATATATCGACGACAAAAAAAAAAAAAAACAAAATGTAAAGACACGATCTTCGTTCACTCAACTCAATTATCGAAATATCAAACATATTTAAATTTGCTTAAATAATACCAATTACATTGTTTTCGATGTTTTCGTTAATTTCCTGACGAACTCTTTCTTGTTCTTCAGGATATTTAACCAAATAGTGGGTGCACCATGCCAACATAGTACTCGAAGTGTCATATCTAGACAACAAAAACAATAAAACTCAATATACAACTTAGCATGAAATAAGTCATATACTTTGAGTTGAATATTTTAAACAAAAATATAATAACCCAGCTGTCATAAATGCAACAGCATTCGCAACAATACTATCTGTTGAAAGCTTCGATAGGACACCATCCTCTTCACCTTCGGCATCAATCATGATTTGCAAGAGATCTGGTGTGATATATCGTTTGATCTATTTGTCCTGCCGTTTTAGATGAAAATCTGAAAATATTCAATTCCAATAATAAATATTACACTCATAAAAATGAATTAGTTTACAACATATGTCAAATTGTCATTATTTCAAACCTGTCAGGGTTGAAATTTTCTGGATCTTTCCAATAATTGACGTCTTTATGCATGCTCGGTGCTGGGATCGTAACAACAACTCCTTTTGGAATAGTTATATTCTTATAATGGAAATCTTCCGAACATATTCTATTGAATGTACTATTTATAAAGAAATACTTAATTAGTTAAAATAATTTCGACAAATATTTTGTTTAAAAATAAAATATACTTCTAGGCAGATAATATTTACATTGCCGAAATAGAACGAAGACGTAACGTTTCTGATATTACTTGATCCAAATACTTCAATTTTGATAAATCTGCATATTCAATTTGTTTCTGAAAATATGTATATATTTAATAACATTAATCTTAATTGATTTATGTTTAAGTTTCTTCATATCAGTTTACAGATCTTTTATGACAAGAGTTTTATTTAGTTTCAAATTGTGAAAAGAAGCCTTTTAGAGTTTTATCTTAGATAATACATCTAAAATAAAACTCTAAAAGGCCTCTACTACACTCCTCATCAAATATTAGCCTATATACGCAATTCCGATGCAAACGAGAAGTTACGTTATTTCAATTCAAAATTTTCCGCTGAAAGAAGTTAGATAGATGACTGGCATGACTCTGTTGCCAACAGGAAAAGTATGATGTGTATACAAAGGCATGCCACTACTAATTTCAGGTGGAGAGCATATTTTAAATTAAATAAATTTAAAAAATATGCTCAAAAATTGCAGCCCGACATTGTGACGATGTCACAATAAATAATTGCTCGTTCTATTTATGTTTAATTTGCAACATCATTGTATGGGTTTGTAAATGGGTTTCACTTGATGGGTTTCACTTGATCACTCCTCATATTTATAGATATAAATATTTACAACCCTATTAATTAAACAAATATATTAATGAATTCTAATTTAAACATATAAATTCCAATTACATTATTTTCTATGTTTTCGTTGATCTCCTGACGAATTTTTTCTTGTTTTTCAGGATATTTAACCAAATAATGGGTGCACCAAGCTAACATAGTACTCGTAGTGTCATACCTAGAAAATAACAAAAAATTTAATAAAACTCAATGTACAATTTAGCATTAAATGATTCATACAATTTTTATTAAAGATTATTAATAAATAATTTATAATTACCCAGCTACCATAAATAAAACAGCATTCGCGACAATACTGTCTGTTGAAAGCTTCTTTACAACACCACCCGTTTCACCTTCGGCATCAATCATGATTTGCAAGAGATCTGGTGGATGATACTGAATACAAAACAATTTTAGCTATCAATTTTCGTTTTATTATTCTCAGTTTTTTTAATCTTACACATTCATATAAACTGCAAATTTGAAAACTTACACCAGATGTTTTTCTTGAAAAGACTATTTGTCGGCACATATCAACTGCCAACCTACTAGATGGATAATTAATTACATATTTGATTCTATCTAAAATCATTCTCATGTATGTAGGAACCGGCTCCATTTCAGGAAAACACACTAAAAATTTATTATAATTAGTTAATTATGAGAAATTTTTGGAATATTTAAGTTTTACTTACTTGATAATGAAGTCAATAAATCGGTCGAATCAACTTCCAGTATACCATAGATGGATTGAACAAATGTACTTGTCTCTTCGTTCTGCACATTTGTCTGAATTCCAAAGGCTGTTTTACAAATTATATCGAAGGTTAACTTTTTATAAAATTCAGCAATATCAAATGGTGATTGTTTCTGTTTGCCGATTTTCCCCAAAAATACATTTATAGGCTCAAACATAACAGTGCTCATCTGAAAATATACAAAGTAACGATATATCTGAAAAAATAAATAATAATTTTATACTTATAATGTTACGTATTTATAAAAATATTAATTTTACTATTCTACATCAGTAGAATTTTATTAAATACACCTATTAGAAAAAGTTACGCACTGAAATAGAATTGTCCTATTTCTGCAAATTTAACATGTAGTTGTCTCAGACAAGAATATAAATGTTTACAGTTGTGGTCCGATTGCACGCCAGGAAATGCTGCAAAATGTCTTATAGTCGCTGCCTCAATAGCCTATAAAAAGGTTCGTAAGGACTCAGTGTCATCAGAAGTTTTAGTGTTCCTGTTATTCGCAGGTCTTCGAAGTCAGGTAGCCGAACATATTAAGCACAAATGAAAGAGTTTGAGAAAGGCCTGTCTGACATAACTGTAAGATGGTCTTGGAGCAATAGATAAGTCAGGGCACATAGACGGTGGCAAGGTTATGGATGCTCTAGATCAGTGTTTTTCAACCGTTTTTATCTCACGGCACCCATAATTAAATTTCCGCAGCAAAAATTTACGCGGCAGACCGGTTAAAAATCATTGCTATAAATAGATGAACAGGGAAAATGAATGTCTGATTATGATACAAGCACGAACACCTGCAACGGCATCTTACACTGGAGCGAAATTTTGTATTTCGAAATTTGTTCCTGTATGCTTAATCACTGACATGATATGCAAGTAAAAATAACAAATAAAAAAAATCAAGAAGTTATGATTTCTTTCTTAAATGGTGTACTGTTAGTATTATAAAAATATTTAATTTCTCAATCGACTCTCAATGGTTTACCACGCAGACAAAAATTTAGAAGCAGGCGACCCCTATATGTCTTGCCATAAGTATCTAAAATTGTCAGCTACGTTTGCAATGATGCTCTAACAGAAAAGCACCGGCTGCTTCAGCGTATCGACCTTAGCGACAAATCCTGTCTATTTGAGTACTAATCACTACTGTATTAGAGTGCGAAAAACTATTGATGAGCGCATCAATCCTGTGTTTACTATTGAATAGCTTACTAGCCACTGTTGATTTGCTGGTCTGCCGAACCATCGCATCACTACTAGTCCAGACTGAACCTAACAGTAACGCGAGGGACATTGACGACACATCAATCCTGTGCCCTCATATGTTTTCCTTATATGGCAAGACTACAGACAGCATTATTCCAGCAAGATAATGCTTATCTTTTCACAGCTAGTTTCCCAGAAATGTCTCGGTAATGCATACTTCCTTGCTTTTCAGGTCTTCAGATCTGTCATACATTATGTGAGACCAAATGTAATGCCAACTTCGGCCATCTGGTAATGCGAAGAGTCTAGACCGAAAATAGCAATATCTATGGAAATATCGATTGTAGGATAAGATAGGTGTCTGTATACTTCCATTCCTATTTTCGATGATATCTCTGCATTGATCTAGTACGTAACATTTTTGTTAATAAAAAAAAGTCTTTATACCATCTTCAGTTTAGCGGCACTGAAACTTGTGCTCAATATACTTCTGCTAATTTTCCAATCTTCGTCATGTTGAAACGTAAGTGATTTGAACATAAGATTATGTGGAATTCCTCCATCTGGAAGTACCAACTGAAATAATTGAAAATAAAATATCAATATGGTAATTAAATCTTCATATTAAATTAATTAATAATCATAAGAAATTACATCTCTATTCCTAAAATATTTGAAGTCTTTTATTTGTATAAGTTTTATTAATTCCAAATCACGACAGACAACCCAAGGTTTGCCTCCCAAGAAGAAACTGAAAGTTATAAAATAATAATATTATTATTTTTATTTTTCAGACAAGCTAAATAATACTGTACTTAAATAAAAAAGAAATACATAATTAGAGTTACTAGAAAATAAAGGATTATGAAATGAAAATATATCTCTGATTCACAAAGTTACTCACCTTGAAGAAAATATCCTATCGTTATAAAATTTTACAAGTGCAACTAAGATTAAATAATAGAGAGATTGCGGCCGAAGTTCAAACGTTAAACTTGTACGGCAAGCAGAAGTACACGTTTGACGTTTGAACTCCAAGTAAAACATGTGCCACACGTTCAGGCGCACTGACTCATGGGATATTGTTGAAAAATGGCGGAAACGTTTAACAACGACAAATGTCATTAGCGAAAGTAAATAAACGAATTAAACTATTTTAAAGTATTTATAGGATGTTTAATAACACTAAATAATTATTTGTAATTAGCGTCGTGTCTCCTACCGTTTCGATAGGACGATAGGACTACCTTATACTTTTGTTGAGGGAAGTAGTGACTTATGTAAATCTGAAAGCAGCTTGGGATTTGCTTTTAGAAAATTTACAAACATATTACGCTGTTGATGGTAGAAAATGCTGTGAAAGAACAAACATACTCCTACAGAATTATGGTCAGTTATTATGAAGACAAATACTGTATATGTAAATTCTATAGGTACACTTCACATCACTTGAAAAAAAAAAATTGAATAATTAAATAATTTCTGGATTAATTTCTGGATAATCGTCTATTTCGTTACAATATTATTCACAAATGATTACATAATCATTGTTTTAATAAAATACGTCCCAATTTAACCCCAAACACACACACAAAAAAATGAAGTTTAAGCCGAAATTCTACTCGCCATGCTAGACGTAGCGAACTCCATTGTCAACCTTCTAGAATTGCCAGATGGTGTCGCTCGACGTCCGACGTTCACGTTTTAAGCTGAAAACGTTGGCCGCAACCTCTCTAATAAAGAAGTGTTTACGATTTTACAGTAACTACTATACTGATAAATAGTAACTATTACAACACTATTGACGCTATCAATAGTGTATTTTTTGAAAACTTCTAAACCATCTTGACAGCTTTAATGTTTTTTCCTGTTTATTATCTCCCTCTTTGCTGTCGTGCAAAATTTCTTTAACCATCATGTCTAGTTCCTGATTTGTGGGTTCTATAGCTGTCTGGTACATATGTACAGTACAGGTAACCCCGTAACACGGTAGTTACGTTCCAAAAAATTGCCGTGTTATGCGAATCCGTGTTATGCGAAACAAAGAACTAGTACGAAAAGGAGGGTTAGGTTCCAAAAATTAAAAAACTTGCTACTATATTTTCATAATTAAGGTAAATATCTTTATTAAAATTTTCTTAAGTGATACATATTATTATAAATTAAACAATGTTTTCTTTGTCATCACTAAAAGCACTATTAACCGAGAGCGTTTTATTTTTGGCAAGTTATCGTTATCCTCTGAGCATTTTTCTGCATTATTTTCAGATTCATTCTTTACCTTTTGCAGAAAGTTTATGTAATTTTAGATTGCTTGCTTCTAGTTAAAAGATCTTTATAAATTTCCTTATATGGTGCTAAGCACTTATGGAGTAAGGGAAAAACATCTGGCAACACAGAAGCAGAAGCGTCGAGATATGGCAAAATTGAAACAATTTTCGCGAAGGACCATGTGTATGGAGACGAGAAAAGAAAATTTACACACTGAAGTACTAATAGATCACGAAAATAATAATTTTTGTGAACTATTAGTACTTAAGTATGTAAAAATTTATTACATTTCATGTTGTACGAGGGTTTTACCCATTTCTCGAACCGTGTCAGAGTGAATCCGTGCTATAAAAGTACCGTGTTATACAGGGGATGGTACCAATTCTCGAACCGTGTTAGAGCGAATCCGTGCTATAGAAGTGCCGTGTTATACGGGGTTACCTGTATATTACTCACTGTTTATCTACTTTGTATTTTTTATATTATTATATCACTTAACTTAATACAATAATTTGTATGGAACTGTATTTACACACTATATACGGTATTCTATTTACATAATTGTCACATAAATTTTCGCTTGTGAAAGTTTTTGAAAGACAATACTACTGTAATGCGGTAACTTCAATTCTGTAGTCACAGTTTATGTCAAAAATTTAGATACCACAGAAAGTACGGTTTTTACTAGTACTGTATGTAATAGACATATTGTAAAAGTAATTCGCGATTACGCAAATGTATTGCATTAAAAAATGAAAAGTAATCAGTCCTAACAAAACTATTTGTAAAATGTTAGAAGAAAACATTCTTCCGAATTTAATAAATCAATAACACCGTAATCTGGCTCATTAAAAACACAGGAGCTTTTATTTACAGGGTAACAAAAGAAAACTGCAGTTTGTTGACTTTAACTGTAGGGGTTGGTACCGGTTCTGATAATAAACTTCCATTATGTAAATGATATTTCACTACCCTGACCTTGAAAGACATCATTTCCCTGTCAAATTATAAGCGGACATCAATTGGTGAAAGCTGAGATAATTTACAGCAAAGTGAAATTTGGTGTTTGTTTTTATCATTTTACTAGATCAAATTACAATAAATTAAACAAAAAATATGCATCATTGTAAACCACAAGTAATTTACATCATTAGAATGTAGACAAAATATAAAAATAAAAGATCTAATAGTAGTTTCTGACGCGATAGCAATAATTTCACAATTTTGGAGTAAAAATTGAGGTCCGTAATATGCCACGCAACTCATATAAGGCAGTCGACCTCACGCGAAACAGTAGATAAAGTGGTAAAAACGCTTTACTGTGTATCTCTGAAAGATGTCAAAACAGTAGTTACTGTTTGATGGGCTTTGACAATACAGTCGACCCCCCTATAAGATAGAGATACGTTCCATTCTTTAGGAATCCGATTTCTTACGAATCCTTCCAATCACAACCCGACACGTGTCAAGTTTACGGACTACGGCTGTTTGAAAGATTTTCTTCCATAAAATTAATCGATTCTAGACTAATCCGACTCAACATTTCCAAAATACGTATATATTTTTTGGAAATAATCCGTATAAACTACGCTATAAACAAAAAATTGTAGGATTACTTACCGAGTGTCACCATTCGACATTGCCATTGCTCAACATTGTTTTCGTCGCGGAACAGCTCAGCAAAGAGCGGCCGATTTCTAACAACTTATTTTTCTGTGAAAACTTCGTAGAACTTCGGAGACATCATTAATATAAATAATTTTAATCGCCGTTGAATAAGAAATGTTTCTTTCACAAGAAATGTATAAAATTACAGTACTGTATTAGACTTACGGTACCTAATTTACATACTGACAGACGATAGTTAGCGTAAAAATCTCCGTAGCGTGGCGCCACGCTAGACGGCGGAAATTATATATTTAATTATAACAAAGTTACAATAAGTTAATATATAATTATATATACAGTACCTAATTTATATATAATTAATATATAATTATATGTACAGTACCTAATTTATATAATACTGTCCAGACAATAGAAATCTCTCCGTAGTTGACGCTACGGACGGCGGGAAAGTAGTTCGGCTGCCCGATGACGTTTGAGGTAATTATAGGGAATTTTTACTGTTTTTTACGGATACCGGTCACAATTTTTTCGTAGTTTTATAGGAATCGTAATTATAGGGACCGTAATTATAGGGGGTCGACTGTATCACAATTCTGTCATCCAGTTTTTATTTGGACCTCCGAGTAGTAGATATGTGTGCTCTTTTAAATCCACTATTACTTGTCAAATTGATGCTGGTTGATTTATATATATGATCATTTAGCTTTTAGCAGACACACGACATTGATCCCCTCTCAAACTTGCCGATTTGATTGTATTGTGTCGATTGTAATCATCCAAATATTTACATCGGTTAAAGAATATAATATTACCACAATATCGATGAAATTTGTAAATACGACCGAGAGACCCTGCTTGTTGCACAGATGCATCTTATTCTCAAAATTATCAGATTGAATAAATTTAATATTTAGTAAATATGGTTTTAAATAATTTTATTTAATTGTATAAAAAATTTTCTATCCAATTTATATCATAAGTAATTAAGTACGATTGATACGTACGTTACTGATAAAATTTGTTATCATTGTACAGTAGAACCCCTCTAGTCCGCCCTCGGCTAGTCCGTCACTCCGGTTAATCCGACCGTGGTCGGAGTCGAGAAACTTGTCCCGACTCGTCGGTGACTCACCGTCCGTGGCGTTTTTCTGTGTTCGTTACAGTATATGTTTTACATTGTGTGTTCATGTACAGTTTTGTGTGTGTTTTCAACATGTCAGGAGTGAAACGTAAACACGTTACTCTTTCATTAAATGAAAAATTAGCAGTGCTACAAAGACTAGACAAAGGAGAAGATTGTTTATTTTACTTTTTTCTGATAATCCGATCTTTTTTGCGTTCCGACCATACCCCCAGTCCCAAAGGTGACGGATTAGAGGGGTTCTACTGTACTGTCATTAATGATATTTACCCAACAACATTTCCATATTTTTCTATCCATTCATCGAAGCACTTGTTTCTCTAAAACAAGGTAAAGTTCATAAATATGCATTCTTAAATTTGAAACTTTAACAATACATAAGAAAATCGATTACCTTTTCGTTATATTCCATTAAATTTCCCGTTATGAAATTGGGTTTAGGTCCTGGAATTCCATATCTCTGGAATATACTCATTTGTCTTTTCCTCCAACTAAAAATATTATAACGTTAAATATTTAATTTTTTTCTATACGGAAATGTTATAATATTAACATACTAAATATTTATTGATTGTGCAGTACAATATAAGAAAATATAGTTGATTTCTTAACGAAAATATAAAAGTATTTTCTTGAAATATACGTCTATGACCTTACTGTTTTACATTTCTGTTATGATTTTTTTCATTATTTTGAATCTGCGCACCAAACTATCACTCCCTTAAGCCCGGGCCTAGCGATCTTAATGAAAATTCCTCAATGATTACATATAGTTTCCTCAATATCTATAACATTATTTATGTACTGTACAGTACATCATGGCAAACTGAGAATTTCTCTTCATAATGACCTGTATATGAATGTGATATCTTTTGTGATCTGTGTAATTAAAAATGTGGTCTGTGGTTATAAAAATGTTAACATATATTTATCTAGAACAACATTAGTTTTTATTTTTTCTGCTGTCTAAACTTTTACTGTAAAGAATAATTCTTTACTTATTCCCTTCGTGAGTGATATTAGGACGAGTTTATACGTGAGAAATAGCAGACACACACGTTTTAATTAAAAGAAAAACTGCAAAAGCAAGCTGAATTTTAAAGTGATTCAATTATTCAAGTACAGTACTTCCGTTTAAGTCCACCTTTTCTGATAAGGGTTTAACTCGAAACAGGCTTTTTTATATTGAATTTTTCGATGGTTTGGTCTGGCTTAATAGAATAATTAAATAAATCAGCATTTGATTTCAAGAATAATTAAATTTTCTTAGAATATAACTCAAATATTGTAAATCAATTCTAAATAAATAGAATATGTTAAAAATAAGACATAGACTATTTAAAAGGGAACAGAGATTCGGCAAGCAGTACGGTAATAATACTCCAACTTAGTAGTTAGTCCATTTACTTTCATTTAATTATGCTTCATATAATTCATCACTCTTGAGGTAAAATTTATTAGTAAAGTAATTGAAATGCATCTTTGCAGGATGATAGATCGGCAGTATAAATGAAGTTTGATTTTCGAGAGAATTTATTATTTTTATTGCTATCGCCAATTAATGAAAGAATAACAAAATATTAAAAAATAGTAGGCTATAAATTTATTAATTATTAATTTTAGACAAATTGGAAGAAATTACAAATTCAAATTTGTATAGGAATAGAATTCATTTAAAAATTATTAATATAACTCTAATAAGATTAATAACATACATAATAATGTAAGTTAAAGTTCATGAAATCCTTTGTTATAAGGCAACGCAATCACTTGGGCGTTGCCCTATCCCACTAAGCCAAAGCATCGAAAAGTGTGTGTTTGCTTTAGCTCACATATAAAATCGTCCTAATATCATTCACGAAGAGAATAATTAAATAATTATTCAATTGAAGTTTTCGACTATTTACAAAAATATTAAATTTTCGAGTCTATCACAATCCTTTTTTATACAGCACCAGAAGTAACAGTTAACATGGTTTTTTTGTTGAAGAATAACTTCTTAAAAAAACAAAGGTAAACAAGTAAAAAGAGACGTCACAATGTTAAAAACGATCAAGTGTCAGCCTTCTATTGTAGGTTCTGACACTTTACATTAAAAACTTGAAGAACTCTTCTCACCATACTGTCCTTATTCATACTTTAACTGCTTCAAGCCCTCTGGTGGTAATTTCGAGTTATCCTACTTATTTGCATATTTATACAATTTCTGTAATAACTCAGGATATAATTCTTCAATTGAAGTTTTCGACTATTTACAAAAATATTAAATTTTCGAGTCTATCACAATCCTTTTTTATACAGCACCAGAAGTAACAGTTAACGCGTTTTTTTTGTTGGAGAATAACTTCTTAAAAAACAAAGGTAAACAAGTAAAAAGAGACGTCAAAATGTTAAAAACGATCAAGTGTCAGCCTTCTATTGTAGGTTCTGACACTTTACATTAAAAACTTGAAGAACTCTTCTCACCATACTGTCCTTATTCATACTTTAACTGCTTCAAGCCCTCTGGTGGTAATTTCGAGTTATCCTACTTATTTGCATATTTATACAATTTCTGTAATAACTCAGGATATAATTCTTCAATTGAAGTTTTCGACTATTTACAAAAATATTAAATTTTCGAGTCTATCACAATCCTTTTTTATACAGCACCAGAAGTAACAGTTAACGCGTTTTTTTTGTTGGAGAATAACTTCTTAAAAAACAAAGGTAAACAAGTAAAAAGAGAC